CCACCACGGGTATCGACACCCGAGAAATAATGTAATGCTGGGATGAAACTCGGTGTATGGAATCAGGAAACCGTAAAATTGGTCGTTTATTTGTAATTAAGCACAACGCTACACAATGGGCTATCTGTGCTCTGCCCACCACGGGTATCGACACCCGAGAAATAATGTAATGCTGGGATGAAACTCGGTGTATGGAATCAGGAAACCGTAAAATTGGTCGTTTATTTGTAATTAAGCACAACGCTACACAATGGGCTATCTGTGCTCTGCCCACCACGGGTATCGACACCCGGATTCTAGCGTTGTAAGTCCGCAGACATACCGCTGTGCCACTGGGGGGGTCCACATAGGACACGAATCCTAAAACCCGAGAAAGAATGTAATGCTGGGATGAAACTCGGTGTATGGAATCAGGAAACCGTAAAATTGGTCGTTTATTTGTAATTAAGCACAAAGCTACACAATGGGCTATCTGTGCTCTGCCCACCACGGGTATCGACACCCGGATTCTAGCGTTGTAAGTCCAGAAAGAATGTAATGCTGGGATGAAACTCGGTGTATGGAATCAGGAAACCGTAAAATTGGTCGAAGTTGCGTACAAGTTTTCCAGTTATGTTTATGTTACGCGATGCATATAAAACATGAACATTGCGGCAATTAGCAGTGAATTTAGAACTTCAATGCGACGTGTTACACAATATGCAAATCAAGAGAGAGGAAAAATAACTTAATGGTTGAAGTTTTAATTTAGTTCATAGAGAAATGCAGAAACTAAAAATATCTTGTAACAGTTTGAGACGTCATCCCATCAACCAAGTAATAAAATGTGGTATTATCCCTTGAAAAAAGAAAGAAAAAAACTGTGATATTGTAGATATATATATTGTAGCTATTTGAAGTGTTAGCCCAAGAACTGAGATGTTTCAAGAATATATTGAGTAGCTATACGAAGTATTACGCCTTGAAACAAGCAGGGAAAATTGTAGTGGATGAATGAAACAGTAGCCAAGTCAGCAAGTAATGAATTAAGGCATCTTATAAGGAAATAGAAAGAACCAGAATAAAATAATCCGTCATGATTACAACAACAAATTCTAACACACTAATGACCGGGGGTAATATCGAACTATATATATATCTTAGTTAATGATGTAGCCAGGAGCTGAAGAATAACATCTTGAGATTGGACGTAACATTAGCTCACAATCCGAGGACCTTAAAAGGACAGGTGGTGTAATAATAATAATTCACGAAGTAAGCAGTAAACTAATTAAACCATTGTATAAACAATTTGATACTAGAATTAATGTTCGAGTCATGTTGAAGATAACGAGTTGTTAAGCACAAAGCTACACCATGGGTATCAAAACCCGATTTTTGGTGTCATAAGTCTAGAGGTTGAGCGCTAAGCCACCAGGGAGCAGTGTAGTCAGTGAAGGATATCGTAAGGATGGTTGAAGAACTGTTAAGTTAGTGTAAGCAATAAGTACACCATACGAAAGAATGTCTTACTAGGATGAGGAATTACCGTATTTTTCGGTGTATAAGACGCACTTTTTTTGCCCCAAAATTTGATGTCAAAATCTGCTTGCGTCCTATACACCGAATATTTATGTATATATACATACGATATACACAAGCCATGTGTAAATATATTTAAATAGGCATGCATAGTTTAGTTCAACTGAATGTGTTATTTATAACAATAGTAGTTTTTTTTCTTTTTAAAAAATAACTATTTATAATGCTCCCTAAATAATAAAAAATAAATTACAATGAAAGCAATGAAGATTTTGTAAGTTTTGAACCAAACTAAAAAAAACAAAACCCTTTTTTTTTTTTATTTACGGTAT